GGTTGTTTGGGGCGAATGTAACCACTCTTTCCATAACTGTTGTATGAGTTTATGGGTTCAGCAAAACAATAGGTGTCCGCTCTGTCAACAGGACTGGACTGTTCAGCGCATCGGCAAATAGTGGCCAAATAGACCACTCATTGTCACCACAACTGGTCACCCCTTCCCACCCCTACCCACACACCCCTCCCATCCCTTATCTCTATCTCTGTTTTCAATGTCTTCCTCTCATTATTAACGAAATTAATTGTATCTTATTTTACATGAAATCTATTACTAATTGTATAATTAATTATAATTTTATTAATTAAAACAGTTTTCATTCAAATCAATGACCGATTCATTACATAATTTATACCAAAAAAGTTGATTAATGTTCACATCATTTATGGATATATTGTTTGTTATGAATAGATCAGCAAAATATGAATTTCAGGCAAATAGTTGTCAACATTTAGTGGCAATCAATTGATTCAATTGATCATTGAGTTTGTGGTGAAGATGTCGTCGCCGGAAGTGTTGGCCGAAACAGTGATGATTACGGAGACAGAAGTGGACACAAGCGCTGATCACACGTATTGTGTCAATGATAACGAAGAGTACAAACATTTGCTCAACAAATACCACACATTGAGGCGTGACTTCACTCAATACCAGTCCATCTGCGGATCAATTGAGGACAAAGTGATGTGTTTTATGAATGAATGCGTTTGCGATTCAATCATCAAAACCGTTCAGAAGGAGGAGATCTTCAAATGGTTGGACAAATTGAATCGATTCAAGACATCGCACGAAGAGTACATCCAATTGAGTGATAGTAATGCCGGCATAAGAAGTGCCACAAAGATTGCCACAAATGGGTCAAAAATGAGTGACAATAATGAAGATAACGTACAAATATGCGGACAAAACGTGCCATTAATAGCGGTTAACGCCAAAGAGGCGGATCAGTCGACACCACGTTTGGTGATAATCGCCTCCAACTCGACGCCAATCACAGCCGCGAAGAGTGGGACCAATGATAACGTATTGGAGAAATATCTGAATAATGTTAACTATAATTACGATTATATGCCCGGAATTCCCAAACAATTCCCGTGTCGTGAATGCGGACGAGTGTTCGCCACAAGTAAGCAGAGGAATAATCACCAGAGATGTCACCAAAAGCGAGAACAACAGTACATTTACTGTCAACACTTGTACTGCAAGAAGCGGTTCGTGTCGGCCGACGCCTTCAAGAAGCATATGGACCGACATCTGGGCATTGAATGCCAGAGCAGTGACCAAAGGGACACTTCGGGCGCCGAAGAGGAGAGTTATTTCAAACGCAAAAACAAGAACAAGGAGTACAAGTGTGAGTGGAAGGGCTGCGAGCAGTGGTTTGCGTTGCCGTCGCTTCGCAAACAGCACTACAACTCAGTGCACCTGAAGATCAAACGCCACAACTGTATGATTCCCGGATGTGTGGCTCAGTTCGTGAAGAAGTACGACCTCGAGTCGCACATCGGTGTCGAACACGGCTTCAAGTTCTACAAGTGCTCGTGGAATGGATGCGACCGCCAGTTCTGGTCGCGAACACTACTGGCCCGACACCACTCACTCATGCATCTGATGATCAAACGCTGCAAATGCGATGAATGCGACCAATGCTTCTCAAATCGGGCCAAACTGTCGGCCCATAAGTCGCGCGAACACAACGCCCTCAAGAGGTTCGCCTGCGATTGGCCCGACTGTCGCTTCTCGACCAACGTTAACAAGTGTCTCATCGAACACAAGCGCACCCACACTGGCGAACGGCCGCACCATTGCCTGTGGCCCGGCTGTGGCAAAGCCTTCACCCATAGCTACTCACTGACCACTCACACCCGCATCCATACGGGAGAGAAACCATTCAAATGCGACCAAAACGAGTGCCACAAAGAGTTCCGCTATTGGAATGATTTGCGACAACACAAGCGAAAGACACACTCTTTAGATGTCTGACATCACCTCTCGATCCTCTATTGGCATCGATTCTCACTTTGTATTTATGCTATCAATTAGTCTCATATATAGTGCACTCAAATGTTATCTCATTTATAATTTTAATGTAAAACTATTTATATATTTAATTGTTTTAGACTTTGAATAATAAGTTGTCAAAGAATGTGAACAAAATGATGAAAATTTATGGATCCTTGGAATAGTTAAGTCATTTAGTCTTAAATTACGACAACTCTCTCATCAATGCTGTTGTCTTCGCAGACAATAATGCAAAAACTCTCTTCAATTATCACTTCCAAAACTTTCCATCAATTCTTCCACAACTCTTACACTCGTCTCAACTCATATTTATATCAATCCTTGTAATCGACATATTTTATTACAACTATTCAATTATAGTTAGTTTTAGAAAACTTTATCAAAGTTTTATACATTTAAGAGTTTTAAAATTATTATTTAATATTTACAATTAAGTCAATGGATTAACATTCAGTTTCACTCAATCTTTTAGTATATGTAATGGGTTTTTAGGGTAGAGTGTAGTCGATGTCTCCATCACTTCATTATTAATTATAGATTAGGTATTAGTTTTTGATAAAGTTTTGTCCGAAAACTACGGATTCACTCTTTGTGTGTGTTTGTGACTCTTCTTCTTCAAACTCTTCTTTCATGTCCTCAGTTTCAGCCATAGTTGCCATCGATTTGGATGTTTTACTCGATGTCTGCATCGCCTGATTATTATTGTTTGTTGTCGTTTTTGATGCCGTTTTGTCGGAACCGACCACTGATTTACTCTGTGATTGTGTCTCTTCTTCTTCAAACTCATTGGTATCTTCAGTTTGAGCCACAGTTGCCGTCGATTTTGATGTTTTACTCAACGCCTCTATCAGTGGTTTAGTATATGTCATGGATTTTGAGGGCAGAATCGATGTCTTCATCACATGATTATTATTGTTTGTTATAGTTTTTGATGCCGTTTTGTTGGAACCGACCACTGATTCACTCTGTGATTGTGTCTCTTCTTCTTCAAACTCATTGATATCTCCAGTTTGAGCCACAGTTGCCGTCGATTTGGATGTTTTACTCGACGTCTCAATCAGTGGTTTAGTAGACGTCATGGATTTTGAGAGCAGAATCGATGGCTTCATCACATGATTATTATTGATTGTTATAGTTTTTGATGCCGTTTTATCGGAACCGACCACTGATTCACACTGTGTTGTTGTCTCTTCTTCTTCAAACTCTTTGATATCTTCAGTTTGAGCCACAGTTGCCATAGATTTTGAGGGCAGAGTCGATGTCTCCATCACTTTATTGTTGATTATAGTTATAGTTTTTGATGCCGTTTTGTGGGAACCGACCACTGATTCTTCACACTCTGTTTGTGTCTCTTCGTCTTCAAACTCTTCGTGTATTTCTTGAGTTTTCACATTTGATTTGTGATGCGATGGAGCGGTTGTTAGCATCGATTCCTGTGTTGTGGTCTGCGATTCATCACAAGATTCAGTGACAATGAACTCAAACGACTCATTGTCTTCAGCTATCGGTTTCTCTGTGAACATCGAGTTTAAGACAACGTTTTAGTTAATTCACTCAACAATTTGGTGTCAATTATGCAAATGTTGTCAACAAAACACATACCACTTATCGGTTTATCGGCCACTTTTGGCTCTCGATTCTTAATTTTCATATTCAAATCCATTTCCTATTTTTGGACACAAAATAAATGCAGATATGAATTGAATCAATAATTTTGCGGATCAATTGAAATGAATAAACAAAGACAATACCAAACGTCTGGGAACCGGTGTGACAGTGATATCAAAGCCCAAGCCTTTCATATTCATAGTAAACGGCTTTATAGTTAACTCAAACTCTTTGTGAGGGATATGTAAACCGGTTTCTTTCGGTGTCATCTGTCGTACCATTGAATCCAAAGTTAAACAAAAAACAAATTATAAATCGACAAAGAAGTGAAACTGACGGGTCATCGGAGGTTAAAATGATTACCGTATTATAGTTAAGAGTGAATGGGTTGGGAGGGCTGACAGTGACCACAACCGTCGGTTGCGTAAACTCAGTGATGGGACTCAGACTCATATCAGGTATGGGTTTGATAGTGAAGTCAAACCCATTGTATCGTTTGATACCCGGGAAGTCGTCGTCATCGACGACGGGCTGCGGTCGACACCACACACCCCACGGACCAGACACTGTCCACACCACCAATGCCTGCGCCAAACACAGCAAATACAATGACATGTCAGCAAAAACTCGTTTAATAATTGTTGTGTTTGTAATGCAAACCCAATTAATGGCATTTAATTATCATTTTGTGACAACATTTTGAAAGCAAATACTTTTTACAATTTTTTAATAAGTTTTTTGCGCACATAATGTCTAAAATACGGATTCAATTCATTGGTTCCGTCACTGAGTCTAACATCAGATGGCTTTCAAAGAGACGAGTCATTACATATACATGTGATGTATTAAATACGCAAATTTTGTTAAATTGCAAAAATAACTATTGCGATATGATCAAGTATTTTAAATACACATTTAACCAATTAATTATAAATTAATATAATAGTATAATAACAAATTTTTATCAAATAATCATATCTTTATATAAGTCCAGTTTAAGGGCGACTATTTTTATGGTAAACTATCTTATCATAAACTGATGCAACAATTAATGCAATACATACTGTCTATCAATTTAATGACAGACGCTGTGAATGCTCTCTATGGGCACAGGGATCACACCGGGAGGATATTGACTCTTATGGTCACTATTTACATGCATTATATATTTAAAATTTATATGATAAGTATAATAAAATTGAATAAACATAATATAAAAATTAACTTGTTAAATTACAATTAGAATGATGAGCTAAACACAAGTGTAAATAAATTAAATGCATGTATTAACGATCGGTTTGGTTAAATATCTGACAATTCAACTCACATGCCTGTTATTAACGTTTTTTTTATTAAGTGACAATTTTTAATCAAAAATTTTAGATAAATTTAATCACAAAATTAAATGATTATAACTAATACTATGCTGTCATTGCTATGTGTTTAATAATAATACTTCAAATTTTTGTATAAATAAGAAATAAAGTTTTCAATTTTATAATTTGCTGAATATTTGTTGTAAAAACTTTTATAATTAGTAATTATTAATTACACTATAAAGCTATGGGTTTATTGCCTGCGGGAGAACAGCTTAATTTCCAGGATAGCCAACGACACGCGGAACACATCCGAAGACAAGGAATTAAACAATTTATTAATATCTATAACCGGAATAAAGACCGAATCGACCGATGCTTCAAATGGGGCGATGAGATGGAGTACACGATCGTCCGCTTTGACCACAACAGCAATAAAGTTAGACTTAGTCTTCGGTCCGAAGAGTTACTCAACATTATGTATGAGAGGGAAGAGAGAGAAGGAGAGAACCGACGAGTGCTTTGGAGACAAGAGTCGGGCTCTTTCCAGATCGAGGCCACACCCGGACAGCCGTACGGCTATAATAGTGACCTCAACGACAAGAATTCAATGAATAATCTGTTTAATAACGTGGAGAACCAGATGAGGGAACGACGTCTGGATATCCGGGGTTTGCTCCACGAAGACGAGGCAATCCTATGTCTGACAAATTATCCTAGGTAAGTCTGGGGAAACATCAAGTTTTTTTCATTAAAATGTTAACCAATTTATAAATATAGGATGGGATGTGCGGACACAACAGTGCCCAACACTAAACCCGATCCATTGAACAGTATGTCCGGCAGTATTTTCTTGTCCGACGATCACATCAGTCACTTAAACCAGAAGTACTTTATTATCGAGAAGTATTTTAATGAACGCATCGGCCATAAGGTGGCCATAAATGCACCCATTTTTAAGGACACCAAAACTCCCGACCCATTCATTGAGTTCTTTGACCACAAGGAAGCGATGAGAGCGGCAAAAGTGGATCACATTTATATGGACTCAAAGATTTTTGGCAACGGTTGCTCCTGTCTACAGGTGTGCTAACGCTAACAATACAATCAAACTTACCATGATGATTGTTAAATTAAAGTTTTCAAAAACATTAATTAAATGTTGCCATTAATTACACATTAGGTAACAATGCAGGCGACGGACGTGAACGAGGCGTTCATACTATATGACCAGTTGGCGCCGTTAACCCCCATAATGATGGCATTGGGTGCGTCGACCCCCATATTTAGGGGCTATTTGTCGGACAGAGACGGCCGATGGGACGTCATTGTCGACTCACTCGACGATCGCACCCCTGAGGAGAGGGGAGAGAAGCCGTTGAAACACAACAAATACCGGATCCAAAGGCCTCGGTATTCAGCGATAGGCGCCTATCTGTGCGAATCAAACCAATCATATAATGACAGTCCGATTGTCTATAATAAGGATTATTACAATGAGCTAATCGGCTCTGGAGTGCCGCCACCGCTGGCCCAACACATCGCCTATTTATTCATAAGGGATCCGATACTCATATCGAGTGAAAAACTGGATCAAAACCCGGAGACAGAGTCCGATCACTTCGAGGCCATACAGGCGACAAACTGGCAGTCCCTGAGGTTTAAACCGCCGCCACTTAACCAACCGGCCATCGGCTGGAGAGTAGAGTTCCGGCCGATGGAGATCCAGATGACGGACGCCGAGAACGCGGCCTTTGCTGTCGTCACTATATTATTGTCGAGAATTATATTGAAATATAAACTTAATTTCGTTATCCCTATCACTAAAGTAAGACATTATTTAGAGATAATTACTATATTTATTAATATTTCTTAATTAACGGATAGATTGATGAAAACATGTCAACCGCTCAGAAGAGGGATTCAGTAAATCGGTGTAAATTCTGGTTTAGAAAAGACATCTTCACTCGAAATACACCGCTATTTGTGAACGGCTTTAATGATAATCACGTGATATATGATGTCGAGGAGGAATCATATATAGAGATGTCCATCAATGAGATAATGAATGGTTACGAACAGGAATTTCCGGGTTTAATACCACTAATGAAGGATTATGTAAACAGCATAGCACTGGACGCCCAGACCTACGGTAAAGTCCAACAATATGTCCAATTAATAGCCGACAGAGCGTCGGCTAAACTTCCGACACCCGCTCAATGGATACGAGATTTTGTCCGAAAACATAATACCTATAAATATGATTCTGTAGTCAATGAAAAAATTACTTATGATTTGTTAAACACTTTAAATCGTATTCAAAATGAATGCCTAAATGTTAATGAATTAATTAAGAATAATTAAATGATAAATTAAAATAAATCCTATTTAACAATGGTTTTATTTAAAAGTTATTTATTGATATAATCATATAAATAAAATTATGTTTTGAGTTTCTAATTGTAGGCAAACCGTTCGGATGCTTTTTGGATGCTTTTTGTATAGTTTTGAGCACAATAATGACCATTACAACAAATTGTTCATTTTAAAGCATAAGTTTAATACTATATCTTAAGATTCTCTGATTAATTTATGGATTTTGTTTAGTCTGCATATTAAATGACTCATTTTCTGGTTTCCCTATCTAATTGGCATAATTTTAACATTAATGTGGTTTTAGATTCTCGCTGGGTGACTATGCAAACACTAGTCTCCAAATACTAATAGCCTTGACTGGCCCTAAACTTGGATAGAATAATGACTATATATCAATAAAATGAGTAATAAATTATTACTAATAATATAAAATAAGTTGTGTTTAACGAACTATGCAAGTTTAAGGCCAATCAAGGCTATTAGTATTTGGAGGCTAGTGTTTAAATAGTCACCCAGCGACATTTTAGATAATGATTTGCAATTTATATTAGTGTTTTTAAATCGTGATAATAACTTAAAACCATATTTATTGTAAACATAAACAAATGTATATTTATTTATAAAGTTATTGTAATTAGTTCATTATCTATAAAAATTGATTTATAAAAAATGAATTAAAAAATTTAATGTAAAAATTCAGTGCAGTTGTATTCATTTTTATATCATTAATTATATTTTAATTACTTCTTATATTTTCAAAAATATTTTTATAAATAAACTAAAAATTTATTTTGTTTTTCACTTGTGAAAATGTTTTTCACTTTTTCACTTTCATTTGACGTAAATGTATTGATTTTATCATTATCTGAATATATTATATTTGATAAATCATTAAACTTTATGCATTTACAATATTTAAAAATAGTTTAATATGAAAAACTTCAACAATACTACGGCACAAATCCAAATAATTTATAACATAATTTGATTAAACATTTATTTAACAATTATGTCGTTTATGAAAGTAATATCACCTGAATTATATACGCCGACTGTCTATCAGAATCGTTTCAATCCAGTAAAACGAAACGTTCAAAACTTAAAACAAAAAGTTGATCATAAAATCGCTAATTATATCAATAATAGTGCCGACGATTTGCGGGGATTTAAACACATCGAGGACTTTATGTACAAATTTTGTGTTATAATTTCACCGACATTTAGCCATTACGCCAATCGGCAGTCATTGGACACAAACAGATTTTATATGATCTGCGCCCTAAACCTAATGGATTGGTTAATGTTGTGCCGGTTTGCAGCACTCGCCTACTTTGACAGCCCCTGGATATGGACCCTATTTGGAGACACTTTCTACTACTGGGGCTCCAGTCGGTTACTGTACGGCATGTTTGCCTGTTTTGGTGGCACAATGGCTGCCGGACGACTGGCCATTATCATATGGGAGCGCAATCATCGACTTTACATCATTGATCACATCCATAACATCTGGCACCGGGGACTGCGGCACACTTTAAAGCCGGAGTATAATGTAAAGTATTGCTTAAAAGTAAGATTTTATTCAAAAATATTGTGGCCATCGATGGCCGGCTGTGCGATACCTGTCTTAACAGCCGTTGTGATCACATCCGGTCTTTGTTACGCTCAGCAACAGATCGACGACTCGTTAATAGCGATGATTGTGTTTAACTCCCTATTCGTGGTTTGGGTCACCGCCGGAACCGCTATGGGTTACAGTCTCTTCTTTGTTATCCAACTCTTGTCCATCTCTTACTTAAAGTATGAGTTCCGACAAATGCATGAGACTTTGGACTCGTATTATCAATACTGGGATCCGCCTCTTGTGATCAAAACCATTGAAAAACATCAATCGTTGACTGAATTTGTAAAGAAAACTAATGGCTTCTTGTCTTTAATCATTGGTATCGACTATTACTGCTGTACGCCAGCCATCGATATACTATTGTATCTCTCATTTAAGCCAAACGTATATTTTATGCTCCGATCGGTTTATATCGGGACCGGAATATTCATATTTTTTGTATTGTTTGGCATAAACTACATGTGCTCTACGTTTACCACTGTTGTCCACAAACCGGTCAACACTATGTACTCAATCATGTTTAGAACCAAAGGTATTGTCCGAACTAGACTTGCCATCTGTTCTTTTATTGAAAAGTTGACCGGAAATGCGATCGGATTTTATTGTTTTGACTTTTATGCACTCAATCGATATATGTTTTACCGGTATATCACATATTTTTGTACAATATATTTACTTTTAAGGCAATTCTTCAATTTATAAACTTTATATGTCGTAAACTTGTTAAGTATTTTTACTTCAATATTTTATTTGAGGTAATTGTAAATTTTGAATGTCTAAAATAATATCTCTCATTAAAACTTTTTTCTGACTATAAATGTATCGTATTGCGTACTCACGTCCCATACGTTTCCCTGACCTTCCCCTCACTCATGCGATACTCACCTCATACCTGCTATGCATGTGCTCGAGTCAGTCCTGTCTTTGCTTTTGTAATAAACACTTTGTCTATAACCTCGTGGTTATTCGAGTTAGTCTCGGTCACCCCGTGCTGTGACCTGGGACTGCCCTGAGGGCCCCGCAAGGACTTAGGACTGGACTCACGCCATGAAGGCTTAAGTATCGTAACCAGGGATTGGTTCCCGCGGCTACATCCAGCGCTCTACCACGCGGTAGCCATTGTTACCCCTGTCTTCACAATACGTTAAATGTTTATTATCTGAACGAACTAACAAAAGCAATCAAATTGACTTAATTTTAAAAATAGCTGAAATTGACCACAATTTCCACAAACAGAAAAAATATTTATTATAATAAATAAAATTAAATCTAATAATACACGACATAAAAATCTACAAAATAAGTAATTTAACACAAGTTATTTTACATGGAAATTTATTAAATAATTTAATTTATTTTAATAAAAAATGTGTTTTTAGTTGAAGTTGTAGTTAGAATTGAAAGTTTAGCATCAATATAATTTACAAATATTCTAATTATTGTAAGAAATGAATTCTGTTCTTAACACTCGGATCAAGTGCTTTAAACCATTGCATATCATCGGCAGACCAATCGATCGGACACTTTGACACATCCAACACATTCTGGTCATTATCCTCTAAGAATGGCCGAAACACCTCTTCCCTAATCGCCGTTAACTTCGGGTTCGCCTTCAATGACAGACTAGTGGGGCGTCCGATATATTGAAAGGCATTTTCATCAAAACTATCGGCATTTAAATAATTATCATCTAATATAACACTCAATGGTATGTCTGATATATTATGCAAACTGAAGGCAAACGCGTCCACCTTCGCGATGACATGTCGGGAGACATCGATGGTCTGGATCTCATTGAGATAGTAGAAAGCTTTGGTGCCAACCGTTTCAATGCTCCGACACTTCTGGGAGGGTTTGCAGAAGAGGAGGCGCCGCAGTTCAAAGGGATACCAAACTAAAATGGTGGAAAAAGCATCAGGGGGAATTGAGCTCAGTTGGGTGCCCGACACGTCCAGTGTCTTCAGACACGGCAAATGGTTGAACGCGTCAAAAATCTCGGTCCGTTTGGGCGCCCGGTTTGTCACCGGACTGTTCTCGATCACAAACTCCTGCACGAACGGTGTCTGCACTATGTAATAATTA